TGTGAGGTGTGTGGAGGGAGTGTGGTGTGTGGAGGGAGGGTATGAGTGGTGTGAGGTGTGTGGAGGGAGTGTGGTGTGTGGAGGGAGGGTATGAGTGGTGTGCGGTGTGTGGAGGAAGGGTATGTGTGGTGTAAAGTGTGTGGAGGGAGTGTGGTGTGTGGAGGGAGGGTATATGGTGTGCGGAGGGAGTGTGGTGTGTGGTATGTGGTGTGTGGAGTGTGGTGTGTGGAGGGAGGGTGGTGTGTGGAGGGAGGGTATATGGTGTGCGGAGAGAGTGTGGTGTGTGGAGGGAGTGTGATGTGTGGAGGGAGTGTGGTGTGTGGAGGGTATGTGGTGTGTGGTGTGTGGTGTGTGGAGGGTATGTGTGGAGGGAGGGTATGTGTGGACTCCTCGTTACTGGTATTTTGTTATTCCTTACAATGAACTCCTCGTTACTGGTATTTTGTTTATCTTACAATGAACTCCCCGTTAATGGTATTTTGTTATTCCTTACAATGAACTCCCCGGTTACTGGTATTTTGTTTATCTTACAATGAACTCCTCGTTGCTGGTATTTTGTTTATCTTACAATGAACTCCCCATTACTGGTATTTTGTTATTCCTTACAATAAACTCCCTCTTACTGGTATTTTGTTATTCCTTACAGTGAACTCCCCGTTACTGGTATTTTGTTATTCCTTACAATGAACTTCCCGTTATTGGTATTTTGTTATTCCTCACAATGAATGTGGTGTGAGGAAGGAGTGTGTTGTGTGGTGTGTGGAGTGTGGTGTGTGGAGGGAGTGTGGTGTGTGGAGGGAGGGTATATGGTGTGCGGAGGGAGTGTGGTGTGCAGAGGGAGTGTGGTGTGCGGAGGGAGTATGGTGTGTGGAGGGAGTGTGGTGTGTTGAGGGATTGTGGTGTGTGGAGGGTTTGTGGTGTGTGGAGGGAGGGTATGTGTGGTGTGTGGTGTGTGGAGGTAGGGTATGTGTGGTGTGTGGTGTGTGGAGGGTATGTGGTGTGTGGAGGGAGGGTATGTGTGGAGTGTGGAGAGAGGGTATGTGTTGATTCCTCGTTACTGGTATTTTGTTATTCCTTACAATGAACTCCTCGTTACTGGTATTTTGTTTATCTTACAATGAACTCCCCGTTACTGGTATTTTGTTTATCTTACAATGAACTCCTCGTTACTGGTATTTTGTTTATCTTACAATGAACTCCCCATTACTGGTATTTTGTTATTCCTTACAATAAACGCCCCATTACTGGTATTTTGTTAATCTTACAATGAACTCCCCGTTATCGGTATTTTGTTATTCCTTACAATGAACCCCCCGTTACCGGTATTTTGTTATTCCTTACAATAAACTCCCCGTTACTGGTATTTTTTTTGTTTGTTTATCTTACAATGAACTCCCCGTTACTGGTAGTTTGTTATTCCTTACAATGAACTCCCCATTTCTGGTATTTTGTTTATCTTACAATGAACTCCTCGTTACTGGTATTTCGTTTATCTTACAATGAACTCCCCATTACTGGTATTTTGTTATTCCTTACAGTGAACTCCCCGTTACTGGTATTTTGGTATTCCTCACAATGAACTCCCTGTTACTCGTATCTTGTTATTCCTTACAATTAACTCCCCGTTACTGGTATTTTGTTATTCCTTACAATGAACCCCCCGTTACCGGTTTTTTGTTATTCCTTACAATAAACTCCCCGTTACTGGTATTTTTTTTGTTTGTTTATCTTACAATGAACTCCCCGTTACCGTTATTTTGTTTATCTTACAATGAACCCCCAGTTATCGGTATTTTGTTATTCCTTACAATGAACTCCCTGTTACCGGTATTTTGTTATTCCTTACAATAAACTCCCCGTTACTGGTATTTTTTTTGTTTGTTTATCTTACAATGAGCTCCCCGTTACCGTTATTTTGTTTATCTTACAATGAACCCCCAGTTATCGGTATTTTGTTATTCCTTACAATGAACTCCCCGTTACTGGTATTTCGGTATTCCTCACAATGAACTCCCCGTTACTGGTATTGTGGTATTCCTCACAATGAACTCCCTGTTACTGGTATCTTGTTATTCCTTACAATTAACTCCCCGTTACTGGTATTTTGTTATTCCTTACAATGAACTCCCTGTTACTGGTATCTTGTTATTCCTTACAATGAACTCCCCATTACTGGTATTTTGTTTTTCTTACAATGAACTCCCCGTTACTGGTATTTTGTTATTCCTTACAATGAACTCCCCGTTACCGATATTTTGTTTATCTTACAATGAACCACCAGTTACTGGTATTTTGGTATTCCTCACAATGAACTCCCCGCTACCGGTATTTCGTTTATCTTACAATGAACCACCAGTTACTGGTATTTTGGTATTCCTCACAATGAACTCCCCATTCCTGGTATTTTGTTTATCTTTTATTCCTTACAATGACCTCCCCGTTCCTGATATTTTGTTATTACTTACAATGAACTCCCAGTTACTGGTATTTTGGTATTCCTCACAATGAATTCCCTGTTACTGGTATCTTGTTATTCCTCACAATGAATTCCCTGTTACTGGTATCTTGTTATTCCTCACAATGATCTCCCTGTTACTGGTATCTTGTTATTCCTCACAATGATCTCCCTGTTACTGGTATCTTGTTATTCCTCACAATGAATTCCCTGTTACTGGTATCTTGTTATTCCTTACAATGACCTCCCCGTTCCTGATATTTTGTTATTCCTTACCATGAACTCCCCGTTACTGTTATTTTGTTTATCTTGCAATGAACTCCCTGTTACTGGTAGCTTGTTATTCCTTACAATTAACTACCCGTTACTGGTATTGTGGTATTCCTCACAATGATCTCCCTGTTACTGGTATCTTGTTATTCGTTACAATGAACTCCCCGCTACCGGTATTTCGTTTATCTCAAAATGAACTCCCCGTGACCTTTATTTCGTTTATCTTAAAATGAACTCCCCGTCACCGTTATTTCGTTTATCTTACAATGAACTTCCCGTTACCGGTATTTCGTTTATCTCAAAATGAACTCCCCGTAACTGGTATTTTGTTATTCCTTACAATGAACTCCCCGTTACCGTTATTTTGTTATTCCTTACAAAGAAGTCCCCATTACTGGTATTTTGTTTATCTTACAATGAACTCCCCGTTACCGTTATTTCGTTTATCTTACAATGAACTCCCAGTTACTGGTATTTTGTTATTCCTTACAATGAACTCCCCATTACTGATATTTTGTTATTCCTTACAATGAACTCCCCATTACTGGTATTTTGTTTATCTTACAATGAACTCCCCGTTACCGGTATTTCGTTTATCTTAAAATGAACTCCCCGTAACCGGTATTTTGTTTATCTTACAATGAACTCCCCGTTACTGATATTTTGTTATTCCTTACAATGAACTCCCCATTACTGGTATTTTGTTTATCTTACAATGAACTTCCCGTTACCGGTATTTTGTTTATCTTACAATGAACTCCCAGTTACTGGTATTTTGTTATTCCTTACAATGTACTCCCCATTACTGGTATTTTGTTTATCTTACAATGAACTCCCCGTTACTGATATTTTGTTTATCTTACAATGAACTCCCCGTTACCGTTATTTTGTTTATCTTACAATGAACTCCCCGTTACTGGTATTTTGTTATTCCTTACAATGCACTCCCCGTTACTGATATTTTGTTATTCCTTACAATGAACTCCCCATTACTGGTATTTTGTTATTCCTTACAATGAACTCCTCGTTACTGGTATTTTGTTTATCTTACAATGAACGTCCCGTTACCGGTATTTTGTTTATCTTACAATGAACTCCCCGTTACTGATATTTTGTTTCTCTTACAATGAACTCCCCGTTACCGTTATTTTGTTTATCTTACAATGCACTCCCCGTTACAGGTATTTTGGTATTCCTTACAATGAACTCCCCGTTACTGGTATTTTGTTATTCCTTACAATGAACTCCTCGTTACTTGTATTTTGTTTATCTTACAATGAACTTACCGTTACTGGTATTTTGTTTATGTTACGGTGAACTCCCCGTTACTGGTATTTTGTTTATGCTACGGTGAACTCCCCGTTACTGGTATTTTGTTATTCCTTATAATGAACTCCTCGTTACTGGTATTTTGTTTTTCTTACAATGAACTTCCCGTTACTGGTATTTTGTTTATCTTACAATGCACTCCCCGTTACTGGTATTTTGGTATTCCTTACAATGAACTCCCCATTACTGGTATTTTGTTATTCCTTACAATGAACTCCCCGTTGATGGTATTTTGTTATTCCTTACAATGAACTCCCCGTTACTGGTATTTTGGTATTCCTTACAATGAACTCCCCGTTACTGGTATTTGGTTTTTCTTACAATGAGCCCCGATACTATTATTTTGTTGACTTTTGCAGTCACAGTACTAGTACTGGTGGGGTATTCGAGAACGCTGAATGCCTAACAAAGAGACAAGATGATAAGCTAAACATTAAATAAATTTTAACGAGGAATGATTTCCAATTACCGATATAATAGGTTAAAATTTGAACATCAACACTAAGCATCAGTTATCTGGTCCAGCCCTGTAACGATACGACGGAGATCCGGTATCATATCTCGCTTTGTTAAAGCACGGTTTCAAACACGTGTCCCGTTACTAATTGTCGGGAGTTTCATTATTAAATCTGGCGATTAATTGTGATATCCGTTTATTGGCTGTAAAACCTTGTATGTTACGATCGGTTATAAAGGCTTACAATGCTATTGGTACGGATACATGCGGGACTACACACACATGCACAACTGGTCTTTCTACATCGCGGTACACAATTACTCGCCAAAATGAGATAATTTGAATAATGGGTATAATTTGAACTATTATCGCCTGAAATGGTCTGTAATTGGGAGTGTAGGGCTCGCTACACATACAAATTATGCACATTCTGGCGATATGAGTATGTATACAAATGTGTCAAGTGTCATAGCAGGCCCCGGGACTCACGCTCGAAGGGACTGTCGCTGGAAGGCGGTACCACCAGATTGGCAAACTATATACGCCGCCGTAACAGCCCGGCACCCACGGGGAGCATATTTTTTTCTCTCTGGATTATCAGGTGTGAATATCCCGGGGGATAAAGCTATCCATTTAACCGATTACAGGCCGTATATAAGTAAGGGATATGGAATGTAAAGCTCATAACCTGTTACTGACTACTGGAACACTCGTGCGGCTCTGGGTATTCTGTGGTCTGTTGTTCTCTGTGTCAACATACCTACTGTAGTACTTACTACACATACCTGGACTAACTCGCTACTGTTGTCTTGTCTGATTTAAGGATTATTTATCGGATCAAAAATTTGCACTGGAAATAATAGACACACACAGTGGTTCTTTATGTGTTTCAGGTGTGTTGACACTTCTTCTCGCCGCGCTCCCACAGAAGAAATTTTAAACCCCAGTTTTTGGTTTGTCTTTAGGTAAACCCTACCTGGACGTTTTGTATTTAAATGATCTTCTTCATTGATTAGCACGACTATTGTGAACAATTTAACACCGTAACAGCTTATTCAGGAAACTGTACCTATTTTAGTGTTATCTCTTTTCGGAACTGTGCGTGCGCAGGGAGTCCCTTACTGCCACGTTAGGGCAAACCTCTGTCTGGCCAATAAGATTGCTCAGGGATAAAAAGAGCGCGCTATCGTCACAGCTGGTTGGGTCGAGTGACAAAACATTTCGTTTGCATTAGTATTGCTTATACAGGTGAGGATCGTACACCGGTGTGGATGTGTGCCTTAGTGTGACACTTAACCAGCATGGCTGCCTCACACCTTCTTATATGTTTCTGTGCTACGGCAGGAAAGAACGGAGAAGATTTAGGAGTGGACGAACAACAGATAGTCGTATTTGTATCTCTACTTTTCGATGTGACCAATTGCAAGGTAAGTTACCTGTGAATAATCTTTGATAAAACTTGAGCGAACATCTGAAGTAGTGTGTACCTATTTATAAATACCCCATCCGGTTTTCCACGGTGACAGTAGTATCGTGTTGTTGATAACACATATTTCTCCTCAATACAGTTCATATCGGCCACTTTAGCTACTTGTATTCTTGTTTTAAATGTGCACATATGTTAAGTTTATACTCAGCCCTGCCACGTTGTTTCTTTCGCCATACACATACATTAGGTAGTGTGTTGACATTTACAGATTTACACCTGTGTGTTTACACCTGAAGGGGTGTAACTTCAACTGTTCGCAATCAAGCATATGTTTTCATTTGCATTTTTATCACATATTATCCGACTGCTTAAAAAGTTTTTAAACTTCCATGAAATAATTAAGTAATTAACGCCTCTGTGAGGCATTTTGAGCAGAACGTTGATAGCAGTGGCCCTTTTAATTGATTATATACTCATAACAAAAACATAGTATCGTTAACACTTTCCATCAAATTCGCAAACTTTTATATTAATATGTCACACCTGTAAAACTAGTCACCTGTGTTATTTACAGGTAGTCGCCGTCCAACACCAGTATGTTCGGCCTCAGCCAACAGAACTATCAGAAACTATCCTTACTGAAGACTGTAAGCTGGAGACAGGATTAGATGAGGATGCCATAAAGAATTCTCAACCCCTTGAACACGTTCTCGATGAGGTAAGACTTGTGTGAAATCGACATATTGTAACACCCCGCCCCCTCTCCCGAACCTGTTCGCCTAGACCATCACTAAAGCTTTCCCTCCAATTGTAATCCGTAAAACTGTGCGCTCCATAAAATGGATGACAGGTCTTAATTTTGAAAGCTTAGCCAGCCGAACCCTTGAGTAAAGTTTCTGATATTATCTTTTTTTTCTGAAAATATTCCAAGATCGAAATTTCAGTCAGTCATTTCTCGTGTTAAATTAAACATTTACTCACAATTGTAGTTAGTTTACACAGTATATGAGAGGATTTTGTAGGACTTTCAGTCGACTACGCTTTGTTTAAGGGGTTTGTATAAGGGGAACACAGGATGTGGAAAAACTCGTGTTCGCGTATAGCTACACACTACTGACCAAATGTCCAGTAGCTCGTGTCCGATAATTCATGGTCAACGTGTCTGACAAAACTTCCACCCCCACTGTCCAGTGGCTCGCGACACTCCCCCTGTGTACTGGTATTTACTTGTACACAATAGACATTTGATCACTGGTCTGTGAAGATAAATATTATTGTGTGACGCGGAGAGAACTACCTGTATTAAGTCACTGTGTTATGCGTGTTAATTTTACCGGAATTATACCGTAACTTATATTTTAGTGTGGATATGTTGTAATGCTTTTTACCGGAGGTTTATAATAACTTATGTTTAAGATGGAAACGCCCACTTTTTTGTATTCTTGTCCTGATGTGACATTTCATGATTCATATGACTATGTACCATAGATATACGTATTACTCGGAATGAAATATACTGTAAAACAGGGCAATGCTATACAGGAATCGATTTGTGATAATTTAGGTAAAGCCCTGTTAGCCTTGTTAGCTTGTAGTACTTTTTATCTGTCATTTCAATGGTATTTAACCTGCGATGACTTTATGTATTCTATATATATATACCATACTTCGACAGAGGAACACATATCAATTGAAAAAATAAATTACTATGAAAATAAAAGTGCAATTATTGAACAGGACATTTAAATATTTCATGTCTTGGTCGTAAAGTTGACCAGGCGTGGGCCTGTAAAACAGCTGTTGCTGCGACTGTCCACGTGTCCCCAGTATAAGGGAGACATGTGGGGTGTAATGTTAATATATAAAACAGATCATACTGCCACTTTACAACCTGTTGCCTCAGCTATATTGATTTTCCTACAGGTAACTTCAAACTCTCAACCAAGAGTTTCAATGTTAATAATCACTAAATATGGCAGGTTTAAAGAAAATATTAATCGTTCTTGTTAATATATAGATGCAAAAAACTCAAATCTTGTAAGGAATCTCTACCGATACTGCTAACTGTAAGATGTTTTACATGTGCTTTGAGGGTCGGGCTAGTTTATGTGGTACTTCTCCGACGTAACACAGCCATTGGTCAGCAGCCTTCTGTAATGCTTGGTGTCTGTCCTGTCGTCCGAGGAGAATCCCTATCTCGACACACACACCCCACCCCCTACTTAAAACCTCCAGTCATGGCTTCTACAGGGGATTATCCCCTATAATGACTCCACACATACGGTCATATTATCTAATCTCGCCAGGCACACGAACAGGTGCTCTCTGCTCTGTTTACGATAGACCACGAATATACGAAAAATATTGAGACATTGCCGTGGATTTTAAATAAAATGGATAAGATAAGAGTCGTCGTGTAGACATGACGTATGATGTAATAGTCCCACATTAATCAGTACCCTGCTTCTATCCCCCGTCCAGTGGCTACTGGCTAGATCCCACGGCTATCCAACAGCACTAGCCGTGAAAGACAGCCTCCAATACAATTTCTTGCAACTTGAATGCTTTGAAGTAGAGGAGAGGGTGGTGGTAAAGTATTATCTGTGGGACAGTAACTTATCGGAACACCTGACTATAGTAACCGGTGTCATTTCTCACACCTCTACATTCGCTGAGAACCGTGCAATCTGGTGATTATTTAGATATACGCATTCCAAATTGACCATCAATAAGTCTGAAAACAAAATCAAAACACCAGCATTTATCCTTATTTAAATATATAATCCTGTTTCCAGTCGGCCTCGTCTCTTCCCCTCGATTTCCACCCTTTCCACAGACTTCAGAAGTCACAAATGATTTTCAACTAAATAGACCGAAAAGTTAAAGAATGACAAATGTCCATGCGTTCAGTGTTTATTGAACAGAAATAATTACTCGGAGTCACATACCGTCAATTTACACTTATAAACGCGGTTAGGGACTGGCATGGTTGACGGCTTCTGGCGACATTTAAAAGTGTACATTATGTGAAGATATCTCAATTACAGCTAGTGTGTTGCGACCTTGCTGTGTTATAGTAAAACGTTTAAGTGTGTAGTATCGTGTGATTCTGTACTGTCGTGTCTGTCCTGTCGTCAAGGGCAGGGGATGTGGGCTACCCCTGGGGGAGAGGGACATTGATAGTCTAGGTCGAAGTGGGGTGGGGTGACGCTTTTATCTATATATACCCTCTCTTATGTTTGCCATATCTACTATCTCTATGCCCTGATTGATTATTTGTTAATTTTTTATTTTATTTTTTGTTTGTTTTCTAGTTCGAAAGATTTCTCTCGGCAAAAGGAGTACATCCGGAGAATGGCGGCAAATCTTTTTGTCTATTAACTGATGGACAGTCACATTTACGTCAGTGTCTTCATCCCGAGGCCAGTAATAAGAACGTTACCATACCAAGTTACTTTAACAAATTCTTTGATCTTAGGAAACAGTTCAGGAAGTTTTACAAAACGGACAATATACACAACATTAAATCAATGATAGATTGTATCCTTTTTACACAAAGAAAAGTTTTAGAAGTGATATCTGTGCCCGTTGCACTTTCGGAATACCTCAATCGGTAAGTACTGTATATATAATAAGTTTATTACTACGTATTTATATACTGACCCTCAGTGGTCAGCCACCTGTCAATAATGACCATCTGTTGTCCTCTAAATGACCTTGGCGATGTTACACCTTTGGTGATGTTTCACCAGCATCCATTATTGACGCTATGACGTAACGAGCCACGCTAGGACTGGTCTGGTAATTAGCATTAATCATACCTTATTATCACATATTCTAGACCCCTATTTAATATTCATAAATGCACCAAGTAGATTTGGCTTAAAATAGGAGTTTTGAGGGTAACGTCATTTGGCAAACCTCGACAAAAGGGCCTTCATACTCAATTATAATAGACCAATCAGAGGATCGCAATGTTACACAATTCGGAATACACTTACTCGGAATGCCTTCATTCAGAATGCAGTAATGAAAACCTTTTGTCAGCGAGAAACCTACCTCAAACCCACCGGTGCAATTGTAGAAGACACACGATCGAAACCCAGATAACATTGACATGTGATAATACCGGGTGTTACTTTGAAATGTTTTCTTCTTAAACAAGTTTAGTGTGTGGGACACAAACGACTTCGGATGTGTTCATACGTCACAGATACCAAGCTTTTCTTTTCTTATTTCCTGCCTTAGACAAACTACATTTTTAAAATCAGATCGCTGTCGTCTGCTACTGTCACAATTCTGACGTCACAGCATGTTAAACTGAACTGTAAGACCTAATCATCTAAAAAGTCACGAAGAAATTTTCTCTGTGTCAAATTTATTATGTCAAGTTGTTACTTATATAGACGATTTGGAAATATGTAGTTAAATGTCATTGTTGCGGTGTGTACTGTATCCCCTACTCAGCGCGTGAGCTCATTGATCAGAAAGGCTTCTCAACAAATGACCTTGAATTGTGTATTGTATGATGTTAAGGGTAGCTGATACCTTAAGTACAGGTGTAAATTTCAGGCCCCTTTTTATGTATGTTGTTACCATCCTTAGAAAACGATCATTCATCGGTGCAGATAAAAGTGCACTTCACTTAATTAGTAACAGTTTATACATTGGGTCTTTTTTACCAATGAAATAATAATATACAAAATCTGTTGTCCCCCTGTCAGCATTTATAGAAAACAATGTCTCCAACGCGTCACATACATTTCCCTAAAGATGTAAGACTAACAATAGAGATAGTCAGTAAAACATTAGATGTAATAAAACACCGAACAGCTAATTTGGAACCGAAATATTCCACATAAGAGACGGCCACCTTTGATTACAATATACAACACACATGACAATTTCAGCTCGTAAATGAATGTCAAACAAGCACCATTTACAACGTAAGTCTATTATACATGTGTGTTTTTCTCATTATAAATGAGTAATAAAAAATTGAGAATAATAACAAACTAGACACAAAGAAATAGAAACAGGATTAAACGTATCTAATTGAAAGCGAGTGTATTTTAGAGTTTTACCGGAGAATATGTTTAACATGGTGTTTGATCAGCGGGGATTAACTTTCTAAAGAGACAACCTAAATGAAAAATGGTTCCTTCACAGAGTGCCAGAAGGCTTGTCGACGACCCGCCTGGCATGTTTAAACTGTAGCTTATAAATTGAGACTTTCTAATGAACTTATATGACTTGATGTTCCTGACATAATCGCCTGGGACGTCGGTAAATGGAGCCGAATAACAAAACGCGGACGGCACGGTACAAAGAGACACATCAGCCCCGCTATATCCCTTATTGAACAGTGTTTCACAAATTGTGTACAGACATTTTTAATTTACAAGGTTAAAATTTTAAATAGCCCACATACACATTGGTTTTCATAACATTCAGACGTAGCTGAGAGAGTGGGTTTACATAGCCAGTGACATTCTTCGGGTGTCAAGCTTAAGCCCCGTGTTTATCGGTCGGGTAGATGTATCCCGATGTGTGCGTGGGTCATGTACCTAGGTACCAGGGTCCTCTGGTCATTTCTATGCACGTAAAGCTCTATTTCGTGACGTTTCTCGGCTCTCTGTCTATTCCGACTGTCTCCCCCTCCCGTCTCCATTGCGGATCTGTCCTCCTGTACTTGTACTCGAGTGTATTGTTATTGGAAACCTGTTATACCCGACATATGTTCCATGCCTTACTATGTAGCTAATTCCATCAGCACAGAAGTGTTACCGGGCTTAGATAGGCTCAGCTTTTAAATCGTCTTCTGGATCAAACACATACCACATTTATATCTTAACGCAATTTTTACTTTATATTTCACAAGGGTTGTTTATACAAATGCCTTGTCCGAGATTTCATAAAAGTATCGGAGAAAAATCAAGTTGTATGCATGCAACGTAATTAATTATTTGAATAAAGGCTAAATCCTAAATAAGCTACCACGGGTCATACTCGAATTATTTACATGTTAGTAAACATATGTTATTTAAAAAAACTGCTATTATGTAACAAGCTCTGTTTACCGTTGAGAAAACGCAATTCCCCAAAATGATTAAGAAGTGGCGAGGTTTTAATGTGAACTAACTGTCTGCCCTGTCGTCGTTATATTAAAAGTTGACATTGTTTTTGTCTATGTGTGGTGACATTGGTGACTAATAGCTTGATCGTCTTACCTAGATGTCTGAACTTACGTAGTTTGGTTGAAGCGAATCCCCCTCCCACATCTTCACTACAGGTGACCCTAGCAGTGAGTCTGGTATAATACTCCGAAGATTATGCTATTTATTGACCATCTTGATCACTAATAAATAGTATAATTGTCTTTGTGAGCCTCCCTCCTCCCCAACCCAGAGAGTAGCCATCTAGCATCATAATTACTAATTTATAAAGTGCCCTTTTAAATTAAAGAAACAACATTACTTAAAGCATTTTTTTATATTAAGTTGTAATAAAGTCTACGTAAGGCTGTTTCACGAGCATAACGAAGTAATGCACAGTGAATCACGGTTTTATATTCACTTAGCTATTGTCTTGTTTTTGTACTACTGGGCGAGATCGTGAGGCAGATTTATTTGTTACCTGCTAGATCCTTTAGGATTTTGGCTTCTATCGCCCAAAAGATTTCTAACGACAGACTGGAAATTACGATGAAATTCACGTGCTCAAGTGTCTGATGACTGTGAACATTATAACAGAATGACACTTTTCCCTTTTGCTTCCTTGACCGTGAACTGGTTAAAAGGTTGTTGTGATGATTTCCCCCCTAGTTTGTAGTGTTGTTATCCGCGGGTGACGGCGAACACGACTTCTGACGTGTGTGTCTGGTGTGCACTGCATAGTCAAGTGTTACAAGTATATCAAGCTTAACTTAAAGTTTACTTATCTTGAAAAAGTATTTGTGACAAACTAGAAACAAATGTATAACTAACTTTATTGTGTTATTTTACAACATAAAAACACTTCGAATTTATTCCTCACATTGTTACAGGCACAAATATGCTTTAATCATAAATTCCAAATGCGTTAAGAAAATATCAAAACATAGTGTGTGATTTTCGTCATGCTGAGCCAATTGGGCATTACACATTCAGTCCGCTTGATAACCTGTACGGTATGTTGTCGCCGCCCGAACCAGTAGTATATATCACCGACGCACCAGCTAGATGTGTTAGTGAAGAGCCTGGGGCGATGTTTTCCATGGACAGTGATGGATGGGACATGGGAAAATTTGGGGACTTTTGCCGTGGCGCATTTCCCGGCCTGGGGCTAGAAATGACGGGCTCCTTGAATGAGTTATAATGTACAATTGTAAATACAAGTATATATCCATTTTCAATTAACACGTTCACGCATAAAATCTGAATTCCATTGGAATGTGTAATGGTGCATGAAAGTTTTACCTATCTACAAACAGTTATACTTTATACGGCTAGCTTGCTGCTGTCCTGTTAATTTGAAGATACACTTTGTGCTTGTCCCCTTTCTCTTTATTTTCTGTCGATTAAACGCCCGGTTCATATTCCAACATAAATCATGCTCTAGATTTCCTAGCTACACCTATCCTCCATACTCATTGGAAAAAAATCTTCCCGAATAACAATGAACGTAAAGTTACCAAAGCTATCCGGCGTGTTACATCGTCTAATAACTAAATACAAACGATTTGACGAAAAAACTTCCGAGTACAGATCATACGAAAAACACGTAGAACACAATTTATACATATTGAAATTCCATGTCCTACTTTTACCAAACATCATAATTCAAATCTCCAAGAGCTAATTTAGTGCAAAAGTTAAATGAGATATTCATTAAACCACGGCTAGGATTTTTATGTTTTAAAGTATCAAATTCTTTTGAAGTTAATCCATTAGCCTGGGCGACAATTATAAGGAACCATTAAGAGATGTGTTGTTTTATACATTTTAACCAAATTAAGACACAAATAATCTTTGACGCAATGTGAAATTAGTTGACGGATTCCTAAGGAAACAGTTATGATGTCATGCACAAACCAACGTCCCGATGGATGTATATTTAGGTGTAAGTCTGGTGCTAGGACCTGGTCCGAGGTTCATTGATGCTGTATTTACACGACATAATGCTATTTTTTCTTTACCGGTAATTGGTGAAATTTGACTTATAGCTATTTTAGTCTGTAGCTGTGATCTCTAGTCTGTCACACACAACCCAGGCCCTCGTAATGACTCCCATTCGGTGGAAAGGACGTTCGTAAATATTTTCACTTTTAGCGAAACAGATACGATCGAATGTTGCCCCTCTACCTAATGTGTTCATTCACACGGAACACTGTTATAGCTTCCCCACCAACACCTCGTACCATGTGGACGGGTAGCTGACGATAGGACGGGTAGACAAAAGTCGACCGCTGTTCGACTAATTTGTAACGACCTACTTCTCACCAAGCCCCGAAGTTCAGCGAGAATGACTTCTACCAGATCCTATGATCTACTACGACTCACAATCCATGACAAATACCGAGAAAATGTCACTGGTAAACAATTTCCCTCAACCAGAACGTGTTGATGCTATGTTTATACAATGATCCGTGGCGTAATCAATCACCCCCATTACAGTTTGAAATTGTATTTAATTAACATTTCACCTGATTTTATATTCAAGTGCTTTTAGTGAAGGCAAAGCAAAATGCTTATTTAAATCTTACGGATGTGAATGTGCCGAAGGTCGGAGTTCATAACCGAGATGGAAGCATTCTCTTACTTATGTTTGCCTTGTGGATTTATAATCAGATAAGGGCCTATGTCACGTATTTTTACGGGGATATCGTAAGAGCCTGCGAGACATATATCGATAAAGATCGATAATAGTGTGATTGATTTTACGGACAGGTAGTAGCGCTGGTTGATAGATATATGGACTGGAGATCAAGTTTGTTTCTTTCACCTGTCAATATAAGCCAGAAACCTCACCGTGATGTAAATACCTGTGGGGATAGATATGTGGACATCACTTGGTTTATCCTCCAGGCATCAAGCCATGATAAACTGTAGGCGGTATGTCAACAAACTCAGTCGTCTTTGTACCAATGTGTAAAATACACAGAAAGGACAGCTTCAAACGAACTGTAGACAAAGTATGACCTCTAGGAAAATACCGTATAGCAGCCAGCTATGGCTGTCATACCTACAAACAAACCGATCAGATTGTCAAAATGTAAAGAGAGAGGAAAGTGAATATAACAATATCGAAGGCATCTACAGTGGATGTGATTCAATAAGAACGAGTTCTCGTGATGCTTAAAACATATACCACGGTAAAAGAATAGAGAGAAGTGAGGAAAGAAGCCGAGAAAGATGTCGGTAGGGGAGAGGGTGTTCTGGAATAATTGGACGGTGTTATATAACAATGTTTGGACGATAATAAAGCAACAGTGTTGGTTAGACATCAAACTTGGTTAAAGGTACACCACGTCGACATTAATGCTTCAGATATCGGCCTCGCACAAACAGATTAGCATACCATCCACTGATACAACGTTTATTGCTCGTAAAGAATACCATCGGGGTTTTAAGAATAATGTAATTGTATATATCTTATAGAAAGTTTAATACAGCAGCCAAGATGATCTGTTAACATTGGACAGAAATAAGAATTCACTTTATGACATTAATTGCGGAGGGAAATCCTTTCATGTAGAGTACGAAAAAAACGCGACCAAGAAAGGTATGATCTGCAGATGTGAGCCGGTCTGTGTAGCGACCCATGCCTCCTCGTTGTTGTTGTAGGACCTGTGTGGTGTTACGCCCCGTAATACATATATTCGCTGTCTGCTATGCAAATTTGTCAGACTTAATGAATTTACAATGCTGTAATATTAATATAATCGTTTTTGAGTCGCAGCATTTGTGTTCAGATTATAAGGATAAGCTAGCTAAAATTATGTATACTACATAATGTATAAGATATGTTTTGATTGCTTATGTCTAAAAGAATACTTCGTTTATACTACATATATGCAAACTTTTATGTTATTCAATAACAAGTTGTGCATTTTCTGATATATGTATGTATAAGTTTTATAAATAGATATTACGAATAAGAATACATTACATTGTTACTCAGAAGAAAAAGAAAGGAAGACGCAAACGCGGCGTCACTAAAGTAGAAACCCCGTTTTGTTATATGATGTCGTCAGTTGTTGCATTTTGATGCAGATCCTACCAAGTTCTTCTTCATACTCGATCACTGTACGCTATCATAGAACCTGATACAGCCTAGGCCTATCATCAATTGACCATCAGAAAATTCATATTCAGTCAGTACGTCCCTATCCCTCTAGCTCACAATGATCACACCAGTGACTTTACAGGCCAACCCAAATGTGTTTATATTGTCTGACTCACAATGCGATTGTCGCCTACTTCGGCCACTGACCAGGAGACCATTACGGCCTGTTGACCACTAATGCTACCCACGACTGTGATAAGATATTGTGACATTGACATAATGCAGAAAATGTGCTCGAAACAAGCCTCGACCTGGCTAACCGGGACATGTCGGTGATTTTACACGTGTGTTGTAAGGAATACTAACGTGCTATTGGTTTCATTATTCTTTAGATCGGTCGTGATAACTAATGACCTTATGATAGTGGAGATAGAGCTTTTCCCGTTATCGTGTGCCTCCGAGACAAAACTCTTGGTCCTACGTATATTGGGGTAATTAACCATCACACCTGGCTGGAGGGCTATGACATGTGGTCTGGCAATCTAGCAGTCTTCCTATGTGTCCACCTTTGAGTCCAGGAAACATTATTTTCTTCTGTATATTTGTCCTACAGACTTGCTGTCTTTCGTATTTCTTTTTCGAAATTGAAATATGAACAATGTTATGCAATTTGAAAATAAAAACAAAGTCACACTTATATCTTTATCTGAAGATCTGAAATTTCAAAGTTCGGGCTGTAGGGTAATACATAATAATGTAATGTCACAATGTGAGATAGTGAAATATGTCCTGAAACCACCAGGAACGTTATAAATTCCGTGTTAGAAACGGAAAGCCGAAAGATATTGCAACTTTTTCTTGTTTTCGTCCATTTTACCACTTTGTGCTAATGCTCAGATGGGTTTTCCTTTACTTTGAGTTTGAGTTAGTACATATGATACATTACAAAGATTGGTTCTGTGCAATGTGTCTTCGGCGTAGATGAAATCACAAGGGAAAATGACATACACTGGAATTAACATACCTGCTCTCTCGACCAGTGGTATAACTTTGGATGTAGCAATCACTCATTACAACTCGTTCTGATTCAGCATACCTCTTTTTTCGAACAGTATTATAAATATGAGAATTTTTTCTATGACGAATTTGTCAAATCAAAGGGTTAATTAATGACTGTCTGATAATGAAATACAGGACTTTTTTGGTGATTTGTTCAATTGTGAATTAATGCAAGCTAACTAAGACACGTTTGTGAACGCCCTTATTATTTATGGGATACTATAAATAAGAAAATGTGCTCAATTATTTGTTAGCTTGAATTCATGCTGTATAAATACATCATCGCTTGATGAGATTTTGAGCATTTATTTGGAAACGCAAATCACAAGGAAACATTTGCATATAATAACGACTCTTCATATACCAATTACCCTTCCAAAAAATCAACCGGTAAAAATAAATTTGCATTTAAATATTTGCTTTAAGATAATTTAGCTTAAACATTTGAACCATCTAATATAGTTAAAAGAGACATCCTGTAGTTAATAGGCAACGTGATCTGTTTTTATGAGTTAGTGTGAGTGTTATATTTGCATGCACGACTACCAAACGAGTTAGGAGGCCCACCCTAAAGATACCGATTATGTCATTTCTGATAGAACAAGATAGTTGATGGCGATGAAAAAAAGTTTTCGCTCTCCGAGATTTTCAGTTTATGTACATCTCACAGATCGTATCAACGAAATACGTTTGAAAATCGAGACTAACTGGGTCAGAGGAAATGATACAGCGTTTATGTAGCCTTGTTAAACAGCCAGATTGGCACTACTGAAGTTCCAAATATGGTTAATGCCTAATGTTATTAGCATATTACATATCTATGGCCATCAGGGTCAGTGCCATTATGCTTTTCAAAAGTTCGGGAATCGCGATCGTTGAACTGCTGCGGTTTATCTATGTCATCTTGCCTTGTGCATTATGCATCTTTTGACAAGCAGCGTTTCTCTCTTTATTGTTGCTATCTACATTAAACCAAGCTATTTGCAGTGGTTAAGACAGACAATTTTGACTTTTTATCCACCTAAACCCCAACCCCAGCCCCATTCCTCAGTTCAGTCTCTGCATTCGCCAGTGTGTTTATTATGTAATGTAATACTAGAAACTTGCAGTGATGGCAAGGAGAATTAAGACATCATTTCCCAAGCAGCAGTAGTTCTTTATATTTTTGACGTAATTGGTGCTTTTCTCACATACATTGTTGATTTGTGTTCTTGCTGACGTAATATCTGTATCATTAATCTGGTTATTGGTGCCATGCTTGTGTATGAGACATGGGTTTCTACAATAAGATATGCGTCTACCCCGATACTAAGACATGGAACCATTACATCGAACAGAAAGACGCAATTTAACGTTAGTTCACAAATCTTCGTCCGGAATGATGACGATTTGTCATGAAGTCATTTCTATCCATCGGTGTGTATGGTTTGATTTACCAATACGATAACATGTGCCTCCGTAATTATCACTATGACAACCGTTACTATCCTTGACCACGTACCTCAGATTTAGGATTACAGGAAGATCATTCTGTAGAATATGGTGTCCGACAGGTACAAGAGATGGCCGGCATTGTGCAGCGACTCATCAATGATGGTAAGTACCCATACAACAATGTACTACTTATTATCACAACCGGGGCAGCACAGGAAGAGTTTGTTTTTTCATCCTACTCGTATTCGGTTTCTTGACGAACGAAGGCCAACAAATGAAATAAGTAGTGTGCGATTATGTGGAAAATGAAACTTAATTTAAGATTAAATGTAAATGAAAGAAAAATATTTAGATTGAGTATTGTGTTTTGTATTTGTGCAAGCCCTTGAGCAGTGCTCGTTTTCCAAGTAGATACATCAGATTAGGAGTATTACCGGTATGTTTAGTATACCTGAATGATCCTGGCACGGAATTGAATTATACAAGTAAAACCACCTGTCACAACAACATGACGATCCGTTCTTTTCATTTCGCGCGAGGATTATCCGGGGCAGTGTTTTTCTGTTTAGTTCATGCTTCTTGGGTTTCTGACATATTAGGGTTTACTTACTACACGGTACAGCGGTTAGAAAAGTTTGATCAAGTTCAAGTAAATGACTCGATTGATTTTGCCTACGGCACACATAGCTGGTATACAAATTTGTGTTGTGCATACCTTTATTCGCATTTACTGTGTGTTTCAGTTAATATTTTATATGTTTTACCAGACGCAAATATTGTTATACGAACATGATTTTTACTCATTCAGACATGTTAAGATTCTATTTTACTCTCCTAACAAAACATGTGTAAACCCAATAAACTTGTTGTGGTTATTTAAAGCGACACAATCATTTAAACAGATGAAATATCACTCCCGTGACAGTAACCAAAATTACATATCTATCCTGAAATCTACTGCTGAGTTGTAACAAGTAGTGTACCTAGACATGTTCGTTTTACACATTATTGAACACAAGATACGGATCACACATCATGAGAAACATTTAAAGACTGCTATGAAATCATTAGCCATCACCGATACCTATCATCGAGCCATAGAACCAAATGAAATCCTACCCAGATCTATAAGACGCTGATCCCGTCGTATGGTCAGGTCGTCCTTTGTCGCGAGACGATGTCTGTTGGTGACAGAATTCCTGTATTGTCATCAGTCTATATAGACTATATACTTTAAACAATGACGTTACTCAGGTGGTAGCAGAGATACGAAATTCTACGTAAATCTCAGCTGTATTTATTGCTGATTTGATGTCCTATATCGATCTAACAGATAGATATGATGGTCCTATATAACGGTTATTGTGATATTGTTGAATTTTGTATTTGAAGTGTCGACAGATATGCTGTCACACATCACTGCACTGTTGTCTAAAACAAGAGAATAGTATACCTAGTTTGACGATAACGGAAGGTGTTATACTTATCTCTGAACCCTGTGGCGATCCGGAACATAAACCTGCTACATGTTGTTTCTTGTTGAAATCCCTTAACGATCTAGCTAGGTTTTGTTTTATTGTATGTGTTACGCACTGGTTTATTTTATATATTATACGGATACTCTCATTAAAAAGGTTAAATAATGCTAAAAATCTATAATTTGTTACTCAGTTTTTCATAAATAAGTAACCTTTACACATTGTCGTTACGTTACAATTGACCATGGTTTTGATCCATCTAGATGATCCTTATAAATATGAGGACCCTTGTGCATAACAATTTCTTCTTCATAAAGCAATCACTATTGAGGAGATAAGCTTTCTGATATAATACTTTAGATTTTTAATTGTCTTACGCATATATGTTTGTTTTTGTTATTTACCATCAAGTTGCCTATCTTATTATAAAAAACCCATTCCATATTGGATTTAGTAAGGTAATATTTCAAAAAATGCTTATTATTGTAATTGAAAACAACAGTAAATATTGATTACATGAAATCACTCAATATGAATACAAAACAATTTGCAGGTCATACATTTGTCGAACCGGACGTGATTAATGAAAGACTGGAACCGGGAATCTGGTAAGTCCCTACTTTTAATAAATTAATTAATACTTTTTATCATAACAAGAAACACTACCATGGCAACGGGTGCCATTTGTAGAGTGTTAGCCTGTTACATGATTGGTAAAGGAAATGATGAATAACTATTGTAAATACAAGCTGGAGTGAAAGGACAGCAATATTGGTCGGAGGCGTGCGATGAAGCCCTTCACGAAAGAGACCCGCCTTTTGTTGAGCGCAAGGTTTATTGATACAATGCATTTAATACATGTTATAGCCTGCCGATCAATACAGTGTATACCGCTTTATCCGCTTTGTGACAAGGGATGCTCATGACTCATAACAAAATCTGGCGACATCATGTTCTTAACAGATGTTACTACCACCCATATTATGTTTACTGGTCTACCGCTGTGGTGGAGTGAGAGAAATTTCCGCCTACAAATGGCTGACATAAATTACCAACTACATTTAGCCACGATGATAATATGTAAATGAATTATATCAAGATTCACTAATGTGGAGGTATTTAAGAATGTATTCATACCTTCACTTTAAAGAAATTTTCACTCGTTAAAATGTTGAATAAGATGTTTTGCATCCTTGTGAGGTTGACAGAAATGAAAGTGTGTAGTGGTAATTGCCGAAGCAGGGAGTAATAAATTATACACTAGTTAAAATGTCGACGACGGTTCCTGTGGAACTTCCGACTTAATTAAACATATGTCAACTTTAATTTTATGATGTATGTCAATTAGGATAGTGACAATGGAAAGTGTATAAGTATAACCTATTTAAATGTTCACAATTTTTGTGTAATTTTTGTGTAATTTTCAGTTCTAAGAGCGATATCGTAGACGACAACACAGTTGTACGAGCACGTGGGTTGCCGTGGCAATCATCGGACCAAGATATTGCAAGGTTCTTCAAAGGACTCAATATAGCCAAGTAAGTCACAGCTATTGTACTCCAGCCAGTAAGTCATCTATATACACAGCTATTGTACTACAGCCAGTAAGTCATCTATATACACAGCTATTGTACTACAGCCAGTAAGTCATCTATATACACAGCTATTGTACTACAGCCAGTAAGTCATCTATATACACAACTATTGTACTACAACCAGTAAGTCATTTTTATACACAGCTATTGTACTACAGCCAGTAAGTCATCTATATACACAACTATTGTACTACAGCCAGTAAGTCAAACTTTGGCATTATAGTTATACAAATATAATCGTTTCCATTCATCGCTAATTTATTCATGCATTTAGAGATGCATATGCGACGTAATTCAATCACCTTATTGTAGTGTATACAGATAATTTTTTGCCAAGCCAATATTCACTGTCATGATACATTCGCCCTTGTTACGGAAGGTGAAAATTCAATTGTGGGAAACGTTTCCTTGCATGCAGAAATCAAAACCAAATATAACTGGGTGACTGTATACAATATAGCTTCAACACCTTGCATCGCTGTGTTTTAGGGGAGGCGTTGCCCTTTGTCTCAGCCCCCAGGGCCGGAGGAATGGAGAAGCCCTAGTCAGATTTCAGGACGGAGAACACCGAGACTTAGCCCTGAAAAGACACAAACACCACATCGGACAACGGTATATCGAGGTGTACAAGGCGTCTGGCAAGGATTTCGTCGACGTAGCCGGAGGTAACTTCACTTGTACTGGACATCATTGTTTATAACTGAATCCGTAATTTACTAGAAAATGTTGTGAACGTATAAACCCGAAAGGAAATTCAGCTTTGGTTAAAGATTGAGTTGCGGTGTAAAGAACAATAAAAAGGAAAACGTTTAGATTTTTTCCCTGCCTATTCCCCAAATATTACAATTTTGATTATAGATTTATAAACTTTTTTAATAAAATCTTGATTTTTTTCTCGTTAAGGAAGCAACACTGAGGCTCAGGCTTTCCTGTCACGTGGCGGACAAGTTATCATACGCATGCGTGGACTTCCATTCACATCGACGTCACAACAAGTGGTAGGTCACCGGTACAGCGGTAACGGGAACTAATACTGAAGTTTATGCATGACCAATTATTACAATTTATTCAATTCTTCCTTAAAAGTAAAAATGAACAACCTTTAAATGATAAAATACAAGTTAAATATCCATCTCGTTCACTTATAAACCTCAGTCGGACAGAATCACTTGTACACTGATTCTATGTGAGTAAATATTACAATCTTATTTAATAAAACAAATTAATTGTTTCTTCGCCGACTGATGTTTAGAATTGAGATGATATCCATTTTGCTACAAAGAGTGATTTCTGTTTTTCTGGTATCTGGGGTTGGTAGTTTTAGTGTGTTATACAACGAAATATTAACCTAAACAAAACAACTTGCTACGTTTTTTCAGTTTGAAGGCATAGTTCCTAAGCTATGCATTAATGTGAAATGAAGGTAAGTGAGCAATCCAGCAGGTCATGGTTAGGTACATGGTTTCTGAGTGTGGCAAGGGTAGGGTTTGGACGGGTCATATGGTTGGTGCCAAACTGTGGAGTCTGAGATTTGGTGTTAGTGACTGGTCCAGTGGTACATTTTACAGAGGTGCGGGGCGACGGGTTGCTGGCTCAGTATAATATAATGGAATTCCCCACCTAGGCGTGGGGAAGGTGATCATATACTTATTGTAATATTGTGGGCAAATAGGTCACTCTCATAATTATCTTTCATTTCATGTATCTTACCCTCTCAAGAGTATCTCAAAATGAACTGATAGTGTCAACTGATAGAGAGAAAAAGCTTTGTTGTATGGTTAAGATCACAGTAGTAGAGCACAATAGGACTCACTTTCTTTAGTCATGTGGTCACGTCCATCACCTCCACATAACAATGTCGACAGGTGAATGGCTCTATCTATCCTAATATCAATGTTTACAATGGTTTATGAGTTGGCATAATGAGCACAAGTCAGTTGTAACTAATAACGTCATTTGTATGCAGTTTATATAATAATCATGTAAAGTAATGTAATTTGTGATATTTCACAACTATCAAATACCATAACTACTAGCTATTATTATTGACTTGTTATTTTAAGCACAAGCTAGAAACATTTATATTTCCGAAAGTAAGAAAGTGAATAGTATATGCACGCGAGGAAAATAATTGATGCGATTTCATAATAAAATGTCAATCTATTCCATACAATGTGTAAATGTATATATAATGTTTAAGGTTATGTAGGTATACAAAGTAGCATACCGTCAGACAGTTCTAGAGTTGTGTTCATGTCCGTGAGCGTGGACAGTCGGGTTCCTTTAGTCTAGACATTCCTTGATTTCCAGATTATCAAAGGTCTGGATTAGTGAAATTCCACTGTTAATGCTAGATTGTTGAAGAAAGCCATTTTGGCTAGACCAAATCAGTTGTTACAAATCTCAACCTAAAGCCTATTCCAAAATTCGTTTAAGCTGATTTAATATCAGGCAAAATCATTTGATAATATTTCCTTCTATGAATGACAAATTAGAGATGGCAGTTCATTTTGAGATATCTCCTTATAGACGTACGACAGAAAAAATACGACGGTATCGGGACATTGGAGTGCTTTTACTTGCTGCATGAGGGTACAAGTCATGTTTAATTACGAACCGCTGTTGCTATTATATGTCTTTGCGCTTACAGCTAGAATTCTTTGCAAGAGAACCCAATCCATGCACAGTTCTGGACGGCGAGGACGGAATCCTATTCGTACACTACCCAGATGGACGATCTACTGGAGACGCCTTTGTGCTCCTGGCTTCCGAAGATGAGGCTAGCAATGCCCTGAAAAAGCACAGGGAGATCATGGGAACTCGCTACATAGAGCTATTTAAAAGCACAACAGCAGAAGTACAACAGGTACAACTTCTCACCTGACATGTGATATCTACCTAACGGGAGGGAAATGTGCAGGGAAATATGTTCACGATAGAGGCAGTATATGATGAAAGAAATCATTTTCTTTATCTACGGAGTAAATTGAATTGACGGAAAAAATCAAAATGAGTTTTATTTTTGTTTTGATTCAATCTAGTATGATATGATATCCATATTATTCTTAAAACACATTGAAATCAATATTTTTATCTCGTTATCCAAATGGTCTTGAGTGCGTTTGTAATGTAGGGAAATCGTAATGTTATGTCGGGAGCGTGGTATTGTGTGACCGGGAAGGGGTTAAGTCATATGCAATAATAAACAGCATTTGGAGGAGGTCAACAATGGGTCCGGGTCTTGGGATGAAGCTGTACTAACGGTAAACGATCCTCAGCTAACATGAGTGTGTCATGGTATTCTATTTGCATGCATATAACACTAACAATTAAGAGGTGTATGTTTACATAAGTTCGAGGTATGCAAGTCACATCGTTGTACAGTTTCAATATCGATACATGGACCGATATATATCAGAACATGGAATTTTCAAAATCAATAACAGGAACCGTTCAGGAGTAATTCAGGAAATGTTAGATTCAGCTAGAATGTATGTTTTTTGATCAAGGAAAGTCCATATTATATAATGTTACATCTGAATGTACCATGTAATAAAATTTGCATTTATTATTTAGGAGAGTAAATCATCACTTGTGTTTTATGAAACACTTAAAAAGCAACGGTCAAGAAGTTTACAAGTTCGTAAAATGATTACCTACATTTTCAATTTACATATATGTATCTGAGAGAGATTAATTTAGTACAAAGTTATTTTACCTGTCACTGGAAACACATATCAATTACTACCGTTGGATTGATATACGTATCTCAAGAGTTTCGGTAATAATGTAAACAAGTGTCCATAACAGTGTGTTGATCAAGATAATGGTTTTGTTGAGAAGACTGTCATGGATAATAATATAAAATGCCTTTAATCAAACATTAGTGATATATTTTGTTGTACATCAGCAGGTTCATTGTGTATAAATTTGCATAGTTTATCATGGTTGTGACGTTAACGCTTCAGACAGGTACCTGTATATAATTTAGAAGTTATGGGTCTCGTAAATTTGTTACATCGGTGTCAGCTCTTTGGCAGTTTTATGTTGCCTCGCTCCTCATTCATCGCATAAAATTAAGAGAGGAAAATGCCCGAGGTGTATGCATCTGTGTAGTATAAGGTAAAACGTATGTACCTCTAAGTGAGATATTTAATCGGGCGTGAAGTTAAATATGTTTACCTTTCACACATCCAGAACGTGTTTTGGGTGATGTAGATTGTTAAGCTATAACTCGCACTGTTAAAGTTGTCCAACTTAATGAGTATTTCAGCAACTCATTGTTTTAGTCCATCATTAATTATACCAAATATCACATAAATAAATTTCGCTAAGCTCCATCTGTTAAAATAAATTTCCTAAATATGAAATCTAAAACATTTCCGTTTTGATATCTAGGTTCTGAACCGAAGCATGGACCCACGCAACCCAGAACCTCTTGAAACGCAGTTACCTCCTCTGATTGCACAAATTCCCCAACAGACGGCTCTGCCCTACATTCCCCAGAATATGATCACGAGTGGCACAAAGAGGGATTGTGTGCGTCTACGCAATCTCCCAAGTGTTGCCCAGGTGACAGATATCTTGAATTTTCTGGGAGAATTCTCGCAATTCATTGTCTACCAAGGAGTGCATATGGTTTATACTGCTCAGGTAAGGATTACCCTAAAATAATTCGATTGCTCTTGATGACATCAATGTACTGAAAATTAAAACAGTATGTGTAAAGAAACGGTTCGAAAAGTTTGTCTTTCTGATTGGTATTGCTATATCTTTCCTGACTATGAATAAGTATGCATTGCCTTAACTACTCGCTATCCATTTCAGGGAGAACCTTCGGGCGAAGCCTTCATTCAGATGGACTCTGAGGAGGCTGCACAGCTAACAACGCTGAATAGATATAAGAAAGCTATGATTTTTGGCCAGAAGAAGAGGATAATCGACGTGATCCAGTGCTCGGGGGAGGACATGAACCTTGTACTTACCAGTGGTATTGGTGGCTTCCCTCCGGCTATGCAACAAGCTACCCTCGCTCCACAGCCACATACCCAACTTTTACAGCGCCAGCTTATATCTCAAGCCATTCGTAAGTAACCTTTCTCAATTAATTCTTAGTCTCTTTGAAGTTGTCCCTACACCTTGTACGACGCAAAACATAATTTATAATTTTGTAACTTAAAATAAAATGAATTAGTTTTCCTTTTAAAATCGCATGAAACACGTTACAAATGTATGAATACTAAAACACTGAACACAATTTGAATACCCCCTATGAAGTTTCCAAAAACACAGGAAAATATATGGGATGGAAAAAAGTAAGTGATTGGATATAGACATGTTAATGCTGTCAATCTTGTTTTTATATTAAGAAATATTATATTTACAGATCCTGCCCCTACAATGATACCGACGTCGGCGCTAACAACACCGTCGCTATCATATGCTCACTTGCCACAACCCTTTCAGACAGCCTTTCCACCAGCGACCATGCCAACAATGCAACCGCGACCGGCGTATTACCCGCCCATAATATACTGGTACCCTAGCCCTCCTATCTCTCCACAGACTATAGTTTCACAAACAGGGCCTTGTCCTGTCGTCTTGCGAGGCATCCCTTTTAACACCTCCATGCAAGATTTAATGAATTTCTTCGGTGGCTTTCCAGAGGTACGTCATACTTCTCCTTTTGGTCAAATTCCAAATTTTTTGAAAAAATGCGATAAAATTTTTTGATAAAATTTGAAATTCAAATCTGATTTTTAAAATGGATTACACATTTTGTGTTTGAGAGACAATAAAGTTTTAAGTAAAATTTGTAAGTTAGTATTTCAACAGGACCGCCCCAAACATAGGAGAGTATTGACCGCCACTTTGTATGTGTTTGTGTGTTTGTCAGCTACTTTACACTGCTTTTAGTTAGAGAAGTTTCTATAACACCATTTCCGTGTTAACTTTGTGTGGATGCTCCTTGTGTGGATGTTTCTGTTTACTCGGTACTCACTCACTACTAAACAGCGCTACAATCACTCACCGGCTTGTCGTCGTCTCAACGTCTCTTTTCTCTTCTCTAGCTTTGCTCAAGTGTCTTTGAAATATGAAAGGTTTACCTAAACAATTACTGTTTTCTCGAAAAGAACTACAACGTTTATGAATCATTTTCATGAATGAAAAACAAATTTGTACTTGAAATAGGTTTTTTAATATTTTTCAAAACACAATTTTATATTCAACAATCCAAAATCAACAGTTCCATTTAAAGAAGTGTTAGTAAAGAATTTCATTTTTTTAAATTATAATTCTGATTGTTGAAAACTTGAATTTTAATGAGAAGTAATGTTTCAAAGACACATTTCACACACTTCATTCTATATAAATATATATATTCACTAAGCTATTCGTAGCTGCATATTCGTATTGAATCAGTGTGTATGCATATATACATGTACAAAATTTCATATCTTCTTCAAGAATCCATATCGTCAGCCGTTTCATTATATAGGTATTTTATGGTGCGTTTCTTTCAAATTGGCACGGTATCATTGATGAAGAGAATATGGAATATATTAGTTTTATATATCTATTTTTATTTTTTATGATATCAGCTATCATATAAATATTTCGGGATAGAATAACATTTTTATCAAGTGTTTTATTTGTTAATCGATAGAAAATTAAGTCAACAAATTTACGATTTGACAACTTTGTTTTTTTTCGTATGCGTATTTCTTATTTGAGAGGGAGGAAATGAACATCGAAATAATAGTTTTAAAAAAAACCAATGGAATTTATGATAGAATAATATTTAATATTTATACTTTCTATGTCTTGCTCTTACAATGTTTTTATGTACCCGTAACATGATTATTCAACGGAAGTTAATTATACTTGTAGGTAACACCTGAGAGCATACAACTTCAGGCGCTACCTGACGGCAGACCTAATGGGGAAGCTGTGGTGACATTTGTAACGCGTGGTGAAGCTGAACGTGCAATAATTCAACTAAATAAAAACACCATTGGGAACTGTGTCATCGATCTATTTCTTGTGTGATAGCCAGTGCATGTGGACCTCAGCTGAAGACTTGGAGGATTTTGGATGTTTTTAGCATTTCCATGGACAGTATGTGATTATCAGAGTAGCGTGAACTCGAATTTGACATCAACATGTATGTGTGGATATGTACATATATATGTATGAATGTGTATGTGTGTTGTAAAGGACTATGATTATACCATTTTATTTGGAATCGTATGATATTCCACCAGCCAAAACAGCTCAAGCGAGTCAATGTCTTGCCATGTCTCATACACTTGGTCCTAATGTATCAGCCAGCCGAAATGTCCCCTTATACAAACAAAAAGTGCAAATTCATTAATTGTTATTATAAGCAATATGATTTAATTCCTCTTTAACTGATCTAAAAAAAGTATAAAAATAACCACTTTGTGCCTTTGACTAATGAAAATCAATTTCATAAAGTAAAAGAATACCTCGTAATAAAGGTCTGTGTTTCCAGTGTTAATGTAAACGGGCATTTTGTGTCAGGGTTGAGTACAAGGATGGCAGTGTATTTAGACTGTGAGCGAGTAGAACTGTAGTTTTAACATATTTTGTAGAACTTTTAGTAAGCATATATAAGTGCCTTGCTTTTTTCTTTGATCACCAGTAGATCTGAAATCGAGAAACTAATATTTTCAGTTGCTTCATTTCAGAGAGTTACTTGTACATATCATTCCATGACATTATGATGTTTTATGTAATATTTGTTTAACTTTTATTTGTTGTTTTATCGCTCGATATGAAGGCATTTTATTGTCGTTGTTATTTTTGTGCGTTTAATATTTCATGTTTTTTTATCGTGCACATACGTTGATTTCAGTGTAGTTTCTAAGTGTATACTAATCTGATAGTTTGTTAACCTAGAATATATAAACAGATATTATACACGTGCAAAAAATCTTTCATTGGATACCTTATATATTCGGGTGCCGTAAAGAAAGGAAATCTAGACGTTAATATAATCAAATGTGATATCTAGTCACTATGTTTAAATATGACCTCTACGTAAAGATATACGCCTTTACCTACGTATACTGAACATGTATACTGATCAACGTAATTTCAAATTGATGCCGCGGTAAATAAACGTAAATGAGATATTAGAGTGTAAATGACTGTACACTGGCTGGTCTCCAGTTGAATAAGTGCTACTTTGAAAACTTTGATCAGGAATATTTGGGCCAAACTTGACAACGTGATTTGCTGGATAGAATTTATTCACGTGCAGAATCTCGATTTACAGTAATTGATATATAAATAACTTCATTGTTTTTTGCACAAGATCTTATTTTTATATAAATTATTTGTGTTGCAATATTAGGAACCAATCAAATTCACCCGTTGTGTTTCGTTAGTGATGAAGTCATATGTAAAAATAATTTGTTCAGGAAGAATATATATTTTATGTTTATATACTTAATTATATATATATTGCATATATATGGTAGAATCTCGCGCTGTGAATGTGAGATGAATATGTTCCAGTTTTCATTAATATTTGTAATTATTTGTACATATTTGTATGACTTATAATATATGGTTCATGTTACAATATGCAAATGATGCGACATTAGAACGATTTACATTCCAATCATTTATGTAAATGCCAGCATATAGCTATAATTATCACATGAATGCCTGTCATATACATTGTGCAATACTGTATAAACATGTACGTGACGTAATACTACAGCAGCAGCTCTCAGTAGTTGAACTGTTGTTTGTCTAAAATTTATGTAATTTTCAATAAATTATTGATCGTATTTTATACACTTATTTCATTTTTAATTTATGTTCAATGACGGTATTCCTAAGAACGCAAACATATTTACTGTTTATCAATTGAATATAATTGTTTGTCAAAATTTTAATTTGAAAAGATAAAGAACAATTAAATTTCACATTTACTAATCGTGTTGTGGTAAATTCCATACCTTAACTGGTGAATGGCTACTGGTGTAGTTTTTAAGTCACGTGGTTTGTGATCCAGGTAAATGTAGTGGATAAGCTGTGTGTAAATGTTTGTGACACTAACAGTATTTTGGTACAATGGTTGCTGGTAAGCGGTTTGGCATGCTGATGTGGTTGTTGTGCACGTGTGTATTTGGGGTACCATAAAGGGAACTTTAAGCACCGACAGCGTGCCAAAATATTTACATTTATTTAGGAAAAAACATTTCGATAATCATTAATCACTGAAACAGTTCATAAAAAGAAATGAAAGAAAAATAGAATACAACAATAAATATAATTTAAAAAAATGGAAGTTATGCAAATATCCCTTGATGGACCCCATGCGTTTATGTTTAATAGGTTGTGACGGGATTTTGAGGAAAGATCATTAACAATCATTCCGGTATTAAGTTTGCACAGAGAAGGGTAATTTTGTAACTATTTACTCCTTTATTTCAGGCTTTCATCTACGCATTAATTAAGATATGAATTAATTTATGTTGTAATACAATGCTTATATTTGTTGATAAATGATGTAGATACCTATATTACCTTATATATAAATATATATTAGCATATAGCTTTAGAGATTTACATATAAAATGGCAATAAACAATCTAGTTTGCATTATTGGTGGTGGTTGCCGGGTTTTGGTGATTGGTGACGGCTTCAGCTTTGTTTTCTATCACTGTATTTTAGAAAACTGCGCATCACACGGTCAGTATGACGTCATCATTCGTAGCTGTTAATTTTCGTTGGACAATTAACGACCTGAAGTTACGCATATTTTGCTTGCGTCACTGAATTTGCATATCAATAACAGAACCAGCCTTGTTCTGATAATTGAAGGGTTTGGGACTAATACAGTTTTTATATTACGTAGAATTCTTACGTAGTGGTTTGGGTAACATTTTGAGATAATCTGTGATAGCATTATTTAGTTTACGTTATATCATTGTTTTCTAAGAAATTTTATTTTTAACTTCAATTTTATTCCTAAACAAGCATTACTGAAGAGAATAATACTCTTTTGTTTTACCGTATCTTTTATTTTGTTTCTTTAATTTATTACAAATTAAAAAAATGTATAAAAATACCACTGTGATGCGCAATTTTCAAATTACGTTACTGGAGGAAAGACGACTCCATTTTTGAGACGATCACTTCATTGAGGTGAAGGCTAAACTGATGATGTGGATCGGTCGAGAAGCCTTTTTAACGGAAACTTAAAAAAAAAACATTATCTGGAATGGACTTAACAGAGTGATCTGCATATATTCTACTTTTGCTTTTACAAGATGCAAGATGGTTAAAAGCTGTTGTGTGCCATATATAATATTTTGAAAAAACGCCAAATACTCATCGTAGACTCTACTTGAAGGGCCATAACTAGTCACATGGCCACTCAATAGTGTTCAAATCTTGCCACGAGTCCTACTATTGACCAGTGCATTTGTCTCGATCGGGCTCTCCGGTCATTCTTGGCAGCCATAGGCCATCTTGCTAGCGTCCCTGTGCAATACAATCCCGTCTGCTGACTAGGATTATTCAGGGTCATTCAGGCGCATGCTGCTGATATAATAACTAGTCAAATTGAGAAAGATATCATTCCGTTCACAATTTGCATGTGTTTTTAATTATTTATTCCAACATATCACTTTTAAATGTTGCTTTATTTTTTTCTCTCCAGACGTAACTTTTATTCAAGGAAAAACATATCCTCGTATCTTTTAGTACGACTAAATATGTTATTATCATTTCACGTTTACGAGCTGTGTTCACCTTTTGTGTTCAGTCATGGAGAGAGTTTGTTGATAATGTATCTTAGTTATTTGATTAATAAATTCTATTTCAAAAGGATATACTATAAACTACTTCCAGTCTTACGCGACGATTTATTTTATGTGCTGTATTCTGTCGTAGGTCTAAGTTACCACCCAACAGACGATCGTAACATCGTCTAAATATCTTAATATCTCAATGACTTAGATCGGCAATCAAACTGCCTCCGATAACAACTGGCTAAATTGGACGCCTATAAGCATACGTATGCTGTGATGGGACATTTTCTGATACACGGTTGCTTTCCACATAAAATAATCTTTTAAAGATATCAAACTTTCCATTTTAACATTTTCAATTTAAATTCTAGATGTTTGTTCCTTCTTTTAATCCGTTCCCTTTTTTTCTGCTGAAATAAAACCACATTTGAAATAAATTTCACTGACGTACTCCAGAAGAGTTATCAGTTAGCATCAGATTTGAAATAAAAGTCTGTTCAATTTGACCTGATAATCGGTTTACAGAAGTCACGCATACTATTTTGTAAGTGATCATAATTATGAGAAGTTAATATAAAATTTGCAAATTTGCGAATAGTCTTAAATTGAACATAAATGAAGCATTTCGATTTATTAGAACGTTAAGTATGGCTTCCTATGATTTTCGAGAAAGGTAATTTAACGAAAAAGTAACAGCCATGCATACATGTTATCTCCATCCGTGATTCATCCTATTTCAAACAGGAAGTCATATTTCTTGAATGATTGTCCAATATTGCATTTAAGGACAAAGCTCAAGGTTTTCATTAGTATTCAGCATCTTTACAACTATAGATTGTTAAAAAGTTTCAGCATAAGTGAAAACACAATGCTCACCTAATGTACATTTAAAGATTTATTTTGGCGAGGGGATATCGGACATTGAAGTTATGGTCTGTCTGTGGATCAACGGTCGAGGTCATTCTTCTTTGTCTCGATTATGAGTCCATAAACGTATATGCTTTTATTCTTGCCTTTAGTATAAAACATCAATAATCTAATCTTGTCATTTAATCTATAAACATTACCGTTATCAGACGTGCCATAGTCTATAAACTTGAATTTATTTAATTTTGTCTTTTTATAAACATTAATGTTAATCTTGTTTTTTAGTCCATGAACATCATTGTCATTAGAAGTGTTCAATAGTCCATAAACATCATTGTCATTAGAAGTGTTCAATAGTCCATAAACATCATTGTCATAAGAACTGTTCAATAGTCCATAAACATCATTGTCATTAGAAGTGTTCAATAGTCCATAAACATCATTGTCATTAGAACTGTTCAATAGTCCATAAACATCATTGTCATTAGAAGTGTTCATTGGTAAAATTTTATTGTAATAAGTCGTGGTTATTAACCTCATTTTAAACGTTTTGAAAAACCTAAGTCTATATGCAATACTTTCATCAATCGTGTCCGTTAGTGTGTGTAATTTGTTGTGTTCTTTGTCCATAAACAGTATTGACATTATTCCTGCTTATAAAATCTGTGTCAGTAGTGTCCAATAGTATATAAATATTGAAAGACTACATCGAGAGAATAGATATCCGATAACTTACTACAGTACAATATGGTCAATTTTACAGGAGATACGTTGCTGAGTATTTAAGGTAGTAATTATAATAGCGTTATAACAAATAAGGTCTCGTTCTGTACATAAATTATTCAAAAAAACAAATATACACCACAGCATCACCACAGAAAGACAATAACTCAAAGACAAACCAGGAGCTGTAGGAACCCTTATTAGAAGGAAGAACATCATGGAACTCCACAATTTCCCGAGACGTGCCCCTGAGTTTTCAGTCTGGAACCCCTCATGAAAAAGAGTGTAGGTACAACTGCTCTAAGACACCACGATGGCGTCTTTAAAGATGGTACACACTGAATTGTCAGTTGAAAACTACTATTTATTATAATTTTGAACCAATGTTAAGCCTTCTTATGTTTTAGATTTGTTTGTCAATATTTGATTTTGCTCACTTATATAAATAACCTGTCTCCTCCTCTTTCAACGATACATTTAGATATTCAGTGAGATAGCAGATGAATTATTTACCATACGTGTGAATTTAAAACATTTTCGACCTAATTCAAATTTGTATATGCAGCCTAAATAATATAACTATCATCTACAGATGTACATGTCACCAGGCAGATATATTTACTTCCACTTTACAGATTTACCCAAATTCCACTTGACATACATTTACCTGTCTTCTACTTGACATAGATTTACCGAACTTCCATTCGACAAAGATTTACGCATCTTCCACTTGACATAGATTTACCCGTCTTAAACTTGACATAGATTTACCCGTTGTCCACTTGACATAGAATACCCGTTTCCCACTTGACACAAATGTACCCGCTTTCCACTTGACAAAGATGTACTCGTCTTCCACTTGACCTACATTTACCCGTCTTAAACTTGCCATAGATTTACCCGTCGTCCATTTCACATCTTTTTACCCGTCTTCCATTTGACATAAATTTAGCCGTTTCCCTTCTTGACATAGATTTACCCATCTTAAAATTGACATATATTTACCCGTCTTAAACTTGACATATATTTACCCGTCTTAAACTTGACATATACTTACCCGTAATCACACTCGCAAAGCTTGATTTGCGTGCGAATTATTTTGCATAGTTATACTTGTCATTTCTGTGGAATAGCCAGGCTTGGAATGTATACACAACAATACGTTTGTGGCGACACCTAGAAGAAGTTCTAACTGTTAACACTGGTGAAATTAAATGTACACGTCATCTCTTAGGTGGATTTAGATGGGCACGTCATCACTTTGATAGGGTGAGATGGGCACGTCATCACTTTGATATGGTTAGATGGGCACGTCATCACTTTGATAGGGTGAGATGGGCACGTCATCACTTTGATAGGGTGAGAGGGGCACGTCATCACTTTGATGGGGTTAGATGGGCACGTCATCACTTTGATATGGTGAGAGGGACACGTCATAACTTTGATAGGGTTAGATGGGCACGTCATCACTTTGATAAGGTGAGAGGGACACGTCATCACTTTGATAGGGTTAGATGGGCACGTCATCACTTTGATAGGGTTCGATGCAATCACCATCACTGTGGTTTGATTATTACTTTCATATGTATCTGGCATCAGTATAGATGCTGGAGCTAGTATGTGTCATTACTTTGGTAGCTTTTTTGAACTTCTCAGGCTAGGATGAGAGATGAAAGCGTTATCACTATGACATGGTTATCAAGGTTAAGACTTACCTGTTATAATTTTGATGGAATTAGATGTAAACGTCATCACTTGGTGGAGTTAGATTCAAACGTCATCACTTGGTGGAGTTAGATGTAAACGTCATCACTTGGTGGAGTTAGATTCAAACGTCATCACATCGGTGGAATTCCCAAGCTTCAACCTGACATGTCATCATTGCAAAAGAAAAAACACCGTCATCGCCTTTGTATATATTGTTATCCGACTAGAGTCCAAAGTTTGTTGTATAGGTATGAGTACTAACGGAGGGTCCATCCAATGTTCTGAAGTTCTTCCAATGTCTTCAAATTCCTGTCACAAATAAAAATAAAATAAACAAACAAAACACTTAACTACTAGGTTCTTCATACTTCGTATTACTAACGAATTACATAATGAAACTAAACACATACATTAATTTATTTGATTAATCATTATCAAATCATTAAGTCTGTGAGTTATTTGAGAATCGGTACTGAAAAATAAAGTTAGGCACAAGAACACCTACTTAGTCTCTAAAGATTAGAAGATTGAAAGCGAAGTGTATAAATAGCTTATCTAACATGTTCATTGCACATGAAACTTCCACATTAGACAGCTAAACATAAAGATCCTGCGTAATTCACTATTGATACATATCAAATGAAAATGAAAAGGTATCGCTAAATCGAGTTTTGAGTCCTACATAGGTCTTCAACGCATAGTTAGTTTGACCCAAGTCTTACTCTGAATCTTTCACCTAAGAAAGTTGACAGTTTGGACAATAATGTGACAACAACAACAAAGAAGCAGATATCGTCTCAAACATACCTTTTTACAATTTTGATAAGAATTTCGACTGCATACATCACATATATCGTGTACATCTAACATAATATTACGACAATTACTAAGAAATGTGGAAATGTGGAGTCAGCACAATAAAGTTAAACGTGAAGGTATTTTAATACTGTTTTCCCTCAAATATCATTGAAGCTTGTTAACTACGACATTTACGCACATTCTCTTCAGATTCTGTATGTTAGGTTTTACATAATCTAATCAACATATAAACGTTAAAAGTATTGTTGTTAGCTATCGAAAATACTTCACTATTTATTTGGTTGCTCAGACAGAACCTTCTAGTGCAAACATAGCTAATGATATCAGCAGTCACTTTTATTAAAAAGTGTAAAGTCGACCGTTCTTAATCATTTTTAACTCTTAGATTAATTGATGTTTAGAAACATCGATAACTGTATTTCTATAATGTAATGAGGTTTAATTCTGAACAAGCTACCAACTACTGTAAAATGAGGTTTAAGGCAGGTCAATCCTATTTGAGATCAAATAGCGTATCATCTTTAATTTAGCTTCAGAATTACCATCATACATGCACATCCCAAATTTGACTAACATCTATCTATGTATATAGACTTTTAATGTCATGAAAACAATATGTGACAGACGGCAGGAAAAATAAACAAACACAGCATTCGCCCGGGGCATAAATCACTTTGTGTTTCACGTGATTGTTTTCTGTGGAGTCGAAATACCATAATGTGATGACCGGACATACTGCAGATACAGCAGATGAGAACAAATAAATGATGCTTTGTATCCCAAGCTAGTATGTGCTCTCAGTCATATCCATGTTGACAGTACACCAACCATCATAATTTGGGGCAGAATAAGGAAATGTCAGCAACCTTATAAAAAAAATACATCAATCTACCCAGTACCATTGAGCAAAGCCTCGGTATGTAATCCAGCTTTCGAAGAATTTCCTTGATCTGTAAAAGAATTTATAA